GATTAGGTTTTGTCACTCCGATTGTCGGAGAGGTATCTCTGGGCCCTCTCGGTAATGCACATCACTATAAGCCTTGCAAGCAATGTAGCTAATGAGTTAGTTACGGAATGATGCATTACGTAACGAGTAAAGAGACTTGTCGGTAACGAGATTGAACTAGGTATTGGATACCGATGATCGAATATCGGGCAAGTAACATGCCGATGACAAAGGGAACAACGTATGTTGTTATGCGGTTTGACCGATAAAGATCTTTGTAGAATATGTAGGAGCCAATATGGGCATCCAGGTTCCGCTGTTGGTTATTGACCGAGAATAGTTCTAGTCATGTCTACATAGTTCTCGAACCCGTAGGGTCCGCACGCTTAACGTTACGATGACAGTTTTATTATGAGTTTATAAGTTTTGATGTACCGAAGTTTGTTCGGAGTCCCGGATGTGATTACGGACATGACGAGGAGTCTCGAAGACATAAAGATTGATATATTGGACGGCTATATTCGGACACCGGAAGTGTTCCGGGTGATTTCGGAGAAAACCGGAGTGCCGGAGGGGTTACCGGAACCCCCCGGGGAAGTATTGGGCCTTAGTGGGCCTGAGGGGAGAGAGAGGGCAGCAGCCCAGGAGGTGGCACACCCTCCCCCCATGAGGAGTCCGAATTGGACTGGGGGAGGTGGCGCAGCCCCCCCTTTCCCTCTCCCTCTCCCTCTCTTTCCTTACCCCTTCCTCCTTCCTAGTGGGACTAGGAAAGGGGAGTCCTACTCCCACTAGGAGGAGGACTCTCCCCTCCTTGGCGCGCCCCCTAGGGCCGGCCGACCTCCCCCCTTGCTCCTTTATATACGGGGGCAGGAGGGCACCCTAGAGACACACAAGTTGATCGACAGATCGTTCCTTAGCCGTGTGCGGTGCCCCCTTCCACCATATTCCACCTCGGTCATATCATCGCGGAGTTTAGGCGAAGCCTGCACCGGTAGAACATCATCATCGTCACCACGCCGTCGTGCTGACGGAACTCATCCCCGACGCTTTGCTGGATCGGAGCCCGGGGATCGTCATCGAGCTGAACGTGTGCTAAACTCGGAGGTGCCGTACGTTCAGTACTTGGATCGGTCGGATCGTGAAGACGTACGACTACATCAACCGCGTTGTCATAACGCTTCCGCTTATGGTCTACGAGGGTACGTGGACAATACTCTCCCCTCTCGTTGCTATGCCATCACCATGATCTTGCGTGTGCGTAGGAATTTTTTGAAATTACTACATTCCCCAACACGTACTGCCTCACACATACAGGTAGGCGCGGACTCCACGCTGACAGCTCAGCGTATGCCCCACAGGTGTGTCAGGGTTGCGTGCAGGGGAGACGGCCTCTACAGAAGAGAAAGTATGAGAGAGAAGAAAAGGTGAAGAGAGAGGCAAAAGGGGAAGAAAGAGAGCGGAAGAAGACATGTGTGGAGGGCAGCTCGATGGGAGGGAAGGCTCATGTCACAAGGCTGCTACTGCGTTAGATGGGTGAAAAATTGAACGGTGGTCTCGTCTCTTCGAACTGATGTGGCTGTACTAACCACTGAGAGCAACTCTAGCAGACCCCGCATCCTGTCGGCCCGCAGAACGCGTTTGCAGTTCGTGCAAAATGGCCTTTGCGGGCCAGCGCGGACGGCCACAGATGTAGACCCCTCAAACGGACCCGCATAAAAGTATATTAATGGAATATGCTTTTTTACGGGTCGGCTTTGCGGGGTCTGCTCTTTGCACCGCTGCATCCCGCATCTCATCGGCCCGCAAATATCAAATCCAACATAATACAACAATCGAAAGCAAACTGAATTATTCAAATCAAACATAATACAATAATCATCCACATTACAAATAATTATTCAAATCACCGTAGCAAACTTAAATAATGCAATACAAACTTGTCATGAATACAAATACAAATGAATACAAAAATTAGTCACTGTCCAGCCCTTTGCTAATGGTGCTCAATGAGATCCTCCTGAAGTTGAAAGTGTGTGTTTGCATTTTCAATCTCCTTGTATGTCTGAAGAAAAGCTCTAGTGCGGTTAGGGTCTCTGGTTGGTTTGACACGGCTACCCACATTGTCGTAGAAGAATTCTAAGTTCATTCCTCTCTCATCTTCAAGAATCATGTTGTGCAGGATAACACAACATGTCATGATGTTTTTCAAGGTTTTCTTATCACAAAAATGAGTAGGACCATGGACAATGGCAAACCTAGATTGCAAAACACCGAATGCTTTTTCAATGTCTTTTCGGGCTGCCTCTCACACCCTTGCAAATTCACATTATTTTTTAGTTTTGGGTTCTTTGATGCTCTTGACAAATGTGCACTAAGGAGGGTATATACCATCTGCAAGATAGTACCCCTTTGTGTATTCATGCCCATTGATAGTGTAGTTGCAAGTAGGAGCATCACCACTAGCAAGCCTAGCAAACAAATGAGACCGTTGCAACACATTGATATCATTGAGAGTGCCCGACATACCAAAAGACCAATGCCAAATCCATAAATCCTCGGATGTTACGGCCTCTAGCACAATTGTTGCATCACGAGACTTGCCACAATACATTCCTTTCCATGCCTTGGGGCAATTTTTCCAATTCCAATGCATACAATCAATGCTACCTAGCATGCCAGGCCAACCTCTCCTCTCATTAGATGCCATGAATTTCTTTGTGTCATCTTCATTGGGTGCCCGAAGATACTCAGGACCAAGGACATGGACGATCACTTTTGCAAATCTACGCACATACTCAATTGTAGTATCTTCACCAATGCGAAGGTACTCATCAGCATAGACAGTCGGAACGCCATATGCAATCACCCGCATAGCTGCAGAGATTTTTTGATATGCACTAAATCCCTTTAAGCCCGCGACATTTTTTCTTTGAGTAAAATACCGGCAATTTGCCTCGCAAGCTTGAACAAGTTTCACAAAGAGGGATCGACACATTCGGTACCTTCTTCGGAAGAGGTGCGGAGAATATGTAGGATTCTCCGCGAAATAGTCTTGCATCAACATCTCGTTCCCAAGATGGAGATTCCGAGGAATGCACAGACGCCCGACAGTCGATCCTCGCCTCCTCTTCCGGTGCTCGTCTTCGTGCTCCTTCATGGCAAGTGTCATGACTAATGTTTGCTGCCGAAAGGTCGCAAGCATGGTCTCAACATCCGAGTCGTCCGAATCAGAGAGCAAGAACTTCTCGCACGGTCTCAACTCCATCTACATGCGTACCGGCGCGTCAATCAACTATACCGGCGCAAAAATCACAAAAACATGCACTAACCGGTGGCGGATGTAGCGGGTGATCCCGGGCGGCGACGAGGGGCGGGCTCGACGGTGGACGATCCCCGGCGGCGGCGACGACGCGGGGCGGCTCTTCTCGCCGGATTCGGGGGCTCGGTGCAGCGTCTCGGCGCGGGAGGGTGTGGGGCGGCCCCACGGCGCGATTCCGCCCACAGATTTGGCCGGAATCGCCGGTGGCGGACGGGCGGAAGCAAGGGCGGTCGGCGGCGGAAGGAGGGGGGAAAGGCGCGCGGGCTGAAATGTCCCTCCCACCAATTGCTTCTCTCTGATGCAGGGCACCGTAGCCGCGAGGGGGAAACCCGAGTATTCCCGGGTTGGGGTCGGGATTTTGCTGCGCCCCTCAAAATTTTTTGCGGGCCGGGGCGGGATGCTGCGTCTAATCGGGAAGGTTTTACCGCCCCTACCCGCATTTGGGCGGTTATTTTGCGGGTCAAGGGCGGATGCGGGGTCTGCTAGAGTTGCTCTGAGCACCATCAAGGTAACAATTTTTTTAGACTATCAAGATAGTTTTTTTAATAGATCAGCAAGATAGTGCTAAGGGAAAGCAACTAGTTGACGAGCGCTTCTTCGGAAGCCTCCCCATGATCATTTGTGGTGGGTTGAGAGCGCGTCTTGGCGGACTCTCAGCCGCCACCTCTTGTCACGCTCCTTCCGAATTTTCCTTTTTTTATTTTTTCGCACGTGTTTTCAGCCTTTTAAATGATTTTTTGGCTTTCTTTGACTTTTCGATTTTCATCCGTCTTTTTTAGTTTTTTGACAAAAAAATGCAAAAAAACGTGTTCTTTTTCTTCCGTGAGAGGCACGGTTTTGCTTTTGCGAGAGGCATGGTTTGCTTCCGCGAGAGGCACGGTTATGCCTCTCGGAAATGAAAAAACTCCGTGTTTTTTCCTTTTTTTTCTTCCATGAGAGGCACGGTTTTGCTTCCTCGATCATGCCTCTCGGAAACGAAAAAAAGATGTTTTCTCTTTTCTTTTTTTCTTCAGCGAGAGGCGCGGTTTTACTTCCGCGGAGGCACGGTCATGTCTCTCGAAAACGAAAAAGAAAAACACTTATTTTTCCTTTTCCTTTATGAGAGTCACGGTTTTGCTTCCGCAAAAGACACGGACGTAACTCTCGAAAACGAAAAAACACGTTTTTCTCTTTTGTTCTCTTCCGTGGGAGGCACGGTTGTGCCTCTTGGAAACAGTTTTCAGAAAGGGAAAAAACGTGCTCCTGGTATAGTTTTTTCTTCCGGGTTTTTTCCTTCGTTTTCGGAAAAAAATGTTTGTTAAAATGTATCAACAGGTGATCTCATTTTGAATATCTCGACGCTAAGAATCCAACGGTGAAAACGTTTCGAGATTTGGACGCATAATTTAAGAGATAAAACATTTTGAATAAACAATTCTATAAAAAAAAATACTTTTAGATTATGACAAGTGACGCGCATGTGGGAGTGATCTTTGAAAGTAGTGATTCCGTAGTTCATGTCCTTACAAGCGAATGGAGGGGAAAAGGCCCACCCCAGCCCACAGGAGGCCCACGAAGACCCGGCGGACAGCGGAAGGGAAGGCAACGGGAGGATCTTTCTTTCTCTCAAGAAAAAGGAGGGTCGAGGGTGGTTATTTGGACGGAGTTGGGGACTTGGGGGTCGATCGATCGGAGGCGGAAGAGAAGGAGGAGGGGCGGCGGGATGACGCGGGGGAAGCAGAAGATCGACGCGCAGCGGAAGAGCGCGGAGAAGAACCAGAAGTCCAAGGGGTCGCAGCTCGAGGCCCGCGCCGTCGGGCTCAAGGTCGTCTGCCCCATCTGCAAGGTCAGCGCACGCGCTCTCTTGTTCCTCTTCTTCTTCCTAATCCCTACTATCGCGGCGCGGATCTGAATCCTCAGTCAGGGTCTCCATCCGCATCCGATCCCATGCGCGCTGTCCTGTTCCCCTTCAATTCTGGGGCCAGTCATCTACTATCTATCTATCTATCCCAGGGCAGAGTAGATGATGGCGAGTAGCCGATCTGAATCCTGCAACCAGCATGATAAGATCATAAGAATCAAGTTGAAAACTGTGCGCAAGCATAACCGGATATACTCCTACTAGCTAGTGTATTATTAGCTTTACATGGATACATGTTCCTCATGATTGATGCAGTGTCAACTTCATGTAGTATATAACATTACCTATATATGTGTGTGCAGGCGCAACTGGCCAACGAGAAGCAGTTGATTGATCACTATGGATCAAAGCATCCCAAGGAGAAACCTCCAGGTCCATCAAATGCAGAGTGACTGATGCGAAGTGGAAGCATGAGCTATACTTTGCCTGTTTCTGAGGGTGTTCAATCTGCTCCACACTTGGACGACTTGAGCCTCAGCTTTACCCTATGTAATGCATGCATTTCCTCTTGTTCCAGGCAAGAGCCTTTGATGACCATGTATTTGCCTTCTATGAGTATCTTTGTCTAACTGTCAACATACCTTCAAACTGTATGTGGTGCAATCTTTGGATAAGAGAATGCTAAACTTTTTTCGATTATGTCATTCTCCTGTTACGTGCTGCTGTCTAAAGAGCCGAAAAATGAATGTTTTTCTCGTTCATGTGTGTGTGTGTGTGTGTGTGGTATATACAGCAGCCGGAAAATGAATTGTTCTGCTTATTTGAAACAAAAAGCAAGTACTGAAGGGAAGTCATGACATACAAACTTTTTTGGGGGGTGATGGCATACAAAAGATAAAAAGCACCACAGAAACAGGAATGATGAGTTACATCTAGGGTACTGCCATAATTGCTACGGGTTTTCAAATTCTAAACACGACTTCAAAGTAGGGTAAATTGGTCCTTTTTTTTGTTGCACGCATTTGAGGCAATTATATTGATTGCTGTGTCCCCGGAGCTGCATCATGCTGAGAATCATCCAAATCATAGACGGTCTCCAGGGTACTTCACTATGATTGACAACAGCATGTAAACATACGAGAAATGTAAGCAGTAAAACAGTCGGTACAGATTACTCCCTCCGTCCGGAAATACTTGTCATAGAAATGGATGTATCTAGATGTATTTTAGTTATAGAAACATTCATTTTTATCCATTTCAGCGACAAGTAATTCCGGACGGAGGGAGTACAAAGGAAGCCGCTGTAACTTATTCCATGCAACGACCTGATGGGATGCTTTGTTCTTATGAAGTTTGCTCGCGGCCTTGCCCACCTCCCTTGTGCGCCTTTTGTGATGGCCTCAGCAACACAAGCGATCACACTGAGCCATATCAAATCCTATACTACAAGCTCAAGAAGACGGCTCTCCGCCTCGCAGAATGGAGTAGGAGACTTTTCTCAAAGGCAAAAATTCACCACCATGCCGCTCTTTTGGTGATCCTTCGCCTCGACATCGCCCAAGAGGACAGGCTCCTCTCCACCGAGGAGCTCGACCTTCGGGCCAGGCTTAAGAGAAGGTCTCGGTGTTCGGCACCCTTCGATGGCTTTTGAGGATGGTGGCCTGCGGAGTGCTATGGTTCTCTCTATTTGTGATGGTGGCCGTGGTGTGGCTCACAGGAGGTGTAGGACTATCTCGGCGGAAAATTACCCTTCGGCACGGTCTGTGGCTTTCTCTGCCGCGACGTTCCTAGGCAGCAGGATGCTCTTCGATGGTGGCTACGATCTCCTAGCTCTTCAAGGTGCAGAGATCGCATGGTAACAGGCAACTTCTTCTCTACGTCTTCTCCGTGGCGGATGTCCTTTCGACGGATCCAACGAAGCTAGTTCCCGCTCTTCTCGGTCCACTGGTGGTGATCGATGCTAAGTTCTTGGTGTTGGCTGCTTGTTATAGCTCGCTTCTGGTTCTTTTTCTGTTGTTCCTTATTCCATCTTCTATTCTGTTGTTCCTGGTTCCTTCTCATATGTGTCGGGTGATATCTGTTGTAACCGTCGTGTTGTATCTCAATCTTATCTATAATGAAAATGGTTCAGGCTAGCGTAAACCCGCCGTAGCACCGTAAAAAAAGGCTTAAGAGAAGGGTCATCACCTTGGCTGTGCTAGAAAGATCGCGCAAGAAACAATGTGCAAGAATTTCAAATCTTAAAGAAGGGGACGCCAATACAAATTTTTCCACCGCCGAGTCACCGCTAGGAGGAGAAAAAACCATATTCACAGGATCAAGAACGATCATGGTTGGGTCACCGAGCACGCTGCCAAAGAGAAACTAATTCAAGACCACTTCTCCAATGTCCTAAAGAGAAGCCCCCTGAGCCGCAAAGATTTCAATTGGGACGAGCTAAACCTGGAACCTCTTGACAACCTTGACTCCCCGATAGTCGAGAGTGAGGTCCTCGAAGCAATCAATGACCTGCCCGGTGACAAGGCTTCGGGTCCAGATGGCTTCACGGGCCTCTTTTTCAAGAAGTGTTGGGATATCGTTAAGCCGGACCTCATGCGGGTCATTAACCATTTTGACTCCCTTCACACCGCGAATCTACAGTGGCCCAACTCCGCGAATGTGGTGCTCTTGCCTAAAAAGGAAGGGGCGGAGGGGATCGCCGACTATAGGCCCATTAGCCTCATCCACGCGGTCGCGGAAATTATTGCGAAGGTGCTCTCCACTCGGCTGGGCCCCCACATGACAAGCCTCGTCTCCAACGCCCAAAGCGCCTTCATTAAAACAAGAAGCATCCATGACAACTTCTTGTATGTTTGCAATCGCGCTCGGCGCCTGCACAAGAGCAAGACCCCGTCCCTTCTTTTCAAGCTTGATATTCGCAAGGCCTTTGACACCGTCAAGTGGGAGTATTTGCTTGATCTTCTCCAACGGCGAGGGTTCCCTCCCAAATTCAGGGATTGGATCGCTGTCCTCCTTTGCTCTTCATCTTCGAGGATCATCCTCAATGGTATTGTCGGTGGTCCAATTAAGCATGGCCAAGGCCTCCGGCAGGGTGACCCCATCTCCCCACTCCTATTCGTCATCGCCATTGACCCGCTCCAAAGAATCCTAGATGTGGCCACGAGGAAGGGGCTCCTACACAAGCTCAGGGGAAGGGGGGCAATGCTGAGGACCTCTCTTTATGCGGATGACGCGGTGGTTTTCTTGGTCCCGATCAAAAGAGATGTGGAAAATCTTGCATGCATCTTGGGAGACTTTGGTGAGGTCACGGGCCTCTGCACCAACTTCCTCAAGAGCTCGATGTTGCCCATCCATTGCAACCACCTCGATCTGGGCTATTTGACCCAAAGCCTGCCAGCAGCAAGAGCTTCTTTCCCTCTGCGGTACCTAGGACTCCCCCTCTCCGTATGGCAGCTGAAGTTGGTGGACCTGCAATTCCTCGTGGACAAGGTGGCAAGCAAGCTAACAACATACGAGGGTCAGAATATCACCACCATCGGGCGTACGACTCTTGTCAAGTCTGTGATCACCTCCCAACTAGTCTACCCCGCCACTCCGTTGGTCATACCGCCCTCCATCCTACACATTGTCAACAAACTTGAGAGAGCCTTCCTATGGTCTGGAACAGACAAAACGACAGGGGCAAAATGCAAAGTAAACTGGGAGACTGTTTGCCGGCCACTCGAATATGGGGGACTTGGGGTCCTCAACACCAACAAGTTTACACGCGCCCTCCGGCTGCGGTGGCCTTGGTACGAATGAAAGGAGCCTACCAACATGTGGGTCAGATTGGGAAACCCTTGTGACGAGGAGGACCTTAACTTTTTCTATGCTTCCACCACCATCTCCGTTGGTAACTGCGCGAAGACCCCCTTTTGGGACTCCCCTTGGCTCCTTGGGCGCAAGCCTAAAGATATTGCCCCGCTCATCCATGAAGCTTCCATGCGTAAGAATTGGAAGGTGCGGGAGGCCCTCAAGCACAACACATGGATCCTCAAGATCAATCCATCCACCTCTATCTCCGCCGAGCATGTCACGCAATTCTTCACACTTTGGATGCTCCTTCATGAGGTCCATCTTGACAAACTCTCCGAGGATGACATCCTTTGGAAGCACTCGGTCTCGGGGCATTACTCGGCGGCCTCCGCATATAAGGCACAATTTTTAGGATTGGTTCTCTCCCCCATGGACAAGATGGTTTGGAAAGTTTGGGCTCCCCCAAAAGTCAAGTTCTTTGCTTGGTTGGCTCTCCAAGACAGGATTTGGACCGCGGATAGATTGGCAAAGCGTGGGTGGCCAAACTGTGATCTTTGCCCCCTTTGCAAGAGAGAACAAGAGAGTGGGAGTCATCTATTCTTCAAATGCCGCTTCTCTAGAAGGCTTTGGTCCTTGGTCATTGACAAGTACCACGTCCTCTGACTTCGTCATTTCCACTTGGCCCCTATTCGACTCGGTCCAATCTTGGTGGGCAAGTACTTGCGACGACGGCTATCCGCACAGACAAGCCAAGGCATCCCTCACCATGCTTGTTTCATGGACAATTTGGAATGAACGAAACGCGCGAGTTTTCAGGCATAAGTGTGCCCCTCCGACAGTGCTGCTTTCCTCCATCGCCACCGAGGCTAACCTTTGGATCATTGCCGGTGCTAAAAAAACTAGGGTCTTTGTTATTGCGCGAGTAATCCGCATGCCATGTACTCGGGTTGTTTGTAACTAACTCTATTCTCTCTTATTTAATGGATGAGGCAAAGCTTTTGCCTCCGTTTCAAAAAAAAAGTACTGGTGCTGAAAAAGGACGCGATGCCCGTGTGCTCGTCAGTCTAACTTCATATACGATGGTTGATCTTATTGTAGATGTCTTATCTGCATCTCCCACAACCTCAAACCGTACCAAATACTTCAGAAATCCTAGATCGAGGAAATCTCCTCCTTGACAAAGTTCTCATTGTCAGCCTTGATGAACTTCTCTTTCTGATATTCCAACTCAGGAATTCCTGTAGTTGGATGGTTATTGGGAGAAGACGTTCCCATCGACGACAAAGCGCCTACGGTGACTTCACGAATCTCAGAAGGCACCTACAATGACTTCGTAAATCTCAAGATGATATATCATTATGCCACGACCATAAAATACTGCATGGGAATCTTTTTTCAAGGTGCACAACCGTATCATAGTCTTTGTATCCAGGTTTGATCTGCAAGCTGGCGATAACCTTTTCAAGTATAACTTTAAATTCATGCAAACTTTTAAGGGGTGTACCGAAGCAAAACCCTGATGATATACATGATAGAGTTGGATAACACCAACTGAAGAGAAGCTTGTCCAACATTATTGTCTGGGATGGTTTATAAACATTTACAATGTAGAACTCCTGAAGCGTCGGCGCATAGATAATGTAATAGAGGTCAGAGT